TCAATGGGGGGGGTCGGGGGGGTTGGGGTGAGGGTGGACATGATGGGAATGAGGAGAAGCTGGTATCCCCAAGGTGATCGCGACTGGGACAAAGTTGGCTCTAAATTGGGTCGAGGACACCCCTCCAGGTCTTACTGGGCCAAGGGGGGGCCCTAAATTGCGTGGAGGGGATGTCAATGGCCCTCACTGGGCCCAGTAGGGGTCAAACTGGGATGAGGACAAATCCTTGGACCTCACGGAACCATGGAAGACCCTAAATTGGGGCGAGGACACCCCCATGGCCATCGCTGGGTCATGGAAGACCCTATACTGGGACGAGGACAACCCATGGCCATCACTGGGTCATGGAAGACCCTATACTGGGATGAGGACACCCCCATGGCCATCGCTGGGTCACAGAAGACCCCATACTGGGACAGGGACACCTCCTTGGACCTCATGGACCCAAGAAGGACCCTAAATTGGACAAGGACACCCCCATGGCCATCGCTGGGTCACGGAAGACCCTATACTGGGATGAGGACGCCCCCATGGCCATCGTTGGGTCACGAAGGACCCCATACTGGGACAGGGACACGTCCTTGCACCTCCCAGAGCCGAGAAGGACCCTAAACTGGGACGAGGACATCCACGCCTCCCCGACCGGTCGAGACTTTGCCCCGTGACCTGGCCAAGGCCACCTCCAGCTCGCCCCGTCTGCTCCGAGGACGATCCCCGTTCAGGTCGAGGCCACCCCTCGCGCCCCCCCCCCAACTCACCACTGAGGTCATCGTTGCGGGCGGTCCAGGGCTCAGCACCATCGAAGTGGGTGTCTCCACCGATGTGGGGGCCGGGGAAGTAGGCGTGGGCTAGGAAGCCACCTTCCCCGTCGAATGGGGTGCTGTCCCCGTGGAAGCCCTCGGCGAAGAAGATCATGATGTCCGCCTGGGGTGCCCGGCCCTGCCGCACGTCCCCGTAGGGCACCTCCCGGAATCGCAACGGGGTGGCGGCCGCCCAAACGCTGAAAGCCCGACGGATGGCCCCGAACGTCCCAGCCTCCCCCACCTTGGGGGTGTAGTTCTGGATGCTGGAGGAGAAGAAAGCCCCGCCCCACCCCCGCAGAGCCGTCAGGGCCGCCGCCGCCACGGTCTCACCCGAAGGACGTTCTCCCGGTGTCCCCCCCACCCACCCGCGTCCACCGCGCCCTTACCAGAAGGTGATCTCTTGGTGTTCCCACTTCAAGCCCTGGATGGCGTAGCGCCGGCGCCGCACGTTGGCCTTGATTTCCGCCCCGAATTTGTCAGGGACGCCGCAGCGGGGGCGACGCATGGCCCTGTGGGATTGGCGGGGGAGAGGTGTCCGTCAGGGTCGGAAGACCTCAAAAGGGGGTGTGTGTCCCCTCGAAGGGCCTTGGCGGCGGTCGGAGGACCTACACGCCAACGACCGATGATGTTTGGACCCGCGACCCGACATGAGCTATTGCTAACGGCGGCTGGAGGACCTACGACCCAACTGCCGTCATCAATGGTGGCTGGAGGACCTATGACCCAACTGCCATCATCGATGGCACCTGGAGGACCTACAACCCAACTGCCATCATCGATGATGGCTGAAGGACCTACAACCCAACTGCCATCATTGACGATGGCTGGAGGACCTATGACCCAACTGCCGTTGACAGCAGATGGAGGACCTACAACCCAACTGCCATCATCGACGGCGACTGGAGGACCTACAACTCAACTGCCATCATCGATGGCACCTGGAGGACCTACGACCCAACTGCCATCATCAATGGTGGCTGGAGGACCTACGACCCAACTGCCATTGACAGTGGATGGAGGACCTACAACCCAACTGCCATTGACAGTGGATGGAGGACCTACAACCCAACTGCCATCATTGACGATGGCTGGAGGACCTACAACCCA